TTCTATCAAGCAAGTTCAGCTTTTTGCAAAGACTAGTTGCAGCTACATGTTTTAAAGAACTTTAAGTGCACTGATGCAAATGAGTTCAGCTTGTTCTGAAAGATCATTTTAACTTCGGCGAGTGTATTGGGGGAGGTGGGAGGGGGGGCGGGCAATGTGCATCATGGGAAATGTGAAAATGTCAAAGTCTAATGCTTGAAAAATTATGCTGATGCGCGGTATGTTTCTAGTATCAAAAATCACTGAAACAAGGCTTGAGTTTTTATTTGAGTTTCGGGAAGGGTGGGGAGTTAGAACCCTCGGGAGTTTGAGGTACAGTGCGGGTGGACAATTGGGCAGAACAAGTGAGAGTAAACTTTGTATTTCAATCATAACATGTTTCGATATCCCAATTTAACTCCACTAGCGAGTAGCACGAAAGTTAAGTCGGTGAAAAGTTTATACCGAGCGGCGCGCTCTACATATCCGCCAGCAACTGTTGCCGATGACGGAAATGTTATGCTTTTTTCCCAAATACGGTAGAAACTTTTTTGTAGGAGGCCTCTCAAAATGTAGTGTAAAACGCAATTAAGTATTTTACACAGTTGGTCAGAGGTGGTAGATTTTCAGATATGAGAGATGAATAAATGCTAAAAAAAATAGTTACTGTGTTACTCTTCAAGGGAAAAAGCACGCAGTGTTCCTTTCAAAGCAGATAGTACATTAAAGAATTTATTTGGCATGAAAACGAAACAAAATTAACACGGAAGTAGTCAACAAAAACTAACCCCGGTTAACTGCGAGAATTTTACAAAACTCGTTACCTCTTAAGGACAATCTACAATTAGCGTAAAATTTCAAGAAAATGGAGACAACAATGGACAAATCAAATCACCTTTCCAAATCATTTAATAGCACATCCTCACTACTCATAATTTCATGCGCACATTAAAAATGCTAGCTTCTGCTTTATGGCCGCCTCCATGACTCGTGTACGTGTTTGGTGAGAATGAATACTTTGTAATATAGCCTGGCAGTTTACTTCCAAAACATTATAAAGTAGGTGTTTGCAATAACATAATGTTATCCTAATGAAAGTACAGTCATAAAATCAATATCAAACAAAAAAATAAATGCTTACTGTTTTCCAGTAACAGGGTCACATGGGCCACCATTCAAGCATCGACACTGTTTTTGACATTTGTCACCATAGTAACCTTGGTCACATGGCTTCTCACAAAACGTCCCCTGCCACCCAGGGGTGCAGGAACAAGAACCGTTTCGTGAATCACATTTTGCTCCATTCTGGCACATGCAGTCATGGCGACAGTCAAGGCCCCACTTATGAGAAGGACATTCTGGCAAAAAAAATGATCAACATGGAGAAAACAAAAACCACACTTTCGTTGAGTGTCAATGTACTTAACACGAAAGTAGTCATTGAGGACACTATGTTTATGCCTCCTACTGAAAGATGGGACTGTTGTTTTATGTAATCACCCACTGAAGTCTTTAGCTATTTGCGCATTTCAGTTCATCTTCTATTTTGCTCCTAATATTAATCTTCTTTAGATTTGCTGGAGGACCTCACTATCAGTCCTTGTTGGCCCCTAGTAACTGACTTGGACCTTTTCGGGTGACATACTAGAAATCTTAGTTTTTCAGGAATGATGGACTTCAGAGCTTTTGGTTTAGAGCTTTTTACATTTTTGCCATTCCCTTGGTAGAGTGCAATACTGACAATCTTCCCCTCACCTGTGTCACATGCCTTTCCATAAAAAGCAGCATTGCATGAACACACGGTATCTGGCTTAGTTCCTCTATCAGAGGAACTAATGGATTCCGGATTCCAATTGTTGGTGGGATCTGAATTTTGAGCTGTGTTCCAGATTCCAAAGCCCAGGATTCCGGATTCCAAGAGAAAAATTTCCCAGAATTCGGATTCCACAAGCAAAACTTCTATGGATTCAGGAATCTGGCTTCCCTTACATTGGGCGATCAGTAGCTGCTACAAAATTGTACAAATTCTTTTGTCTTCAATGGAGTAATCTGGATTCGATCTCCTGACGGCAGGTTCAAAGAAAAGTGTGCCACCTAATTCTTTCAGCATTTTGAAACACCATCACCTCACACAATAATACCAATAAAATTTTAACAAACAAAATTCAACGAATAGATTCCCAAGCTCAGGTTTCAGTGGTCATGGTTTGCTTAACTAATATTCATAATAATTTTCTTGATAAAACAAAAATAAACACACCCCAGGAGGAAAACTCTAGATTTCAAGTGACAGGTCCTCAATCCTCAGAGCGCCTTCCAAAATAAAATTCCAGCACCAAAAATGTCTTAACCCTAATTTAATTTTCTGGTAATTCTTACGCTGTATATGACTAAATAAACATGACCTTGAAAAGTGTGTACACGCAGCTTCGTATGTGTGTCTGGTTTCAGTAATCATGGTATTTTTTTTACAGGGATTGGACATGAACCCATTGCCCAACCCAAAATCTGGAGGGCCAGTTGCGGGCCTTATGCGAAATAGAGCATGAACAGATGAGGTAGATAAGGTAAATAAACATGGTGGAAAAGAAATTAACTAAGTGAGTTTATTCAGAGTATACAACAACTAGTTTATAGAACAGGGTCTATGCAACTTAATGTGTTACATGTGATAATAATAATAAAAAAAAAAACGCAAAACAAGTTTGATCGGCAGATCAAACAAATATCCAGGAAACGCGGACACTATACATACAAAATACTTGCCAAAATTATCCTACCCAAAAAATTCCAGAAAAAAAATTTGAAACCCAAAGAAGATCCGTCGATCCTCCTCACCACTTGAAGTCCAGAGTACCCCCCTGGGGAATAGACTTAGCAATCAAAATTCCTTACCAATTGGGCAGCTCCCGTTTTGTTGCTTCCAACCAGGACAGCAAAAGTACTGAGCTTTGTAGGCTTGTCGTGTAGCTAATTTGTAGGCAACTCCATACACTGTTCTATAAAATTAAGATTCAGACTGAATATGGTCATCCTGGGCTGTCACTAAGGGCTGAGGCCCAGGAATTTCCCTGGCTACTCTTCCACAAGCATACCGCTCTGCTACGTTCATGCATAGAAAACAAAAGGAAAAATAGAACCAAATGCACTCCCTAGCTGTTCTATTGGGTCGATTCCCATCTAATATATATACCCAGCACCTTGAAATCTTAGGGTGCGTTCCATTAGGATGATTCGGATTAGGCTCAGTGATCATGGATCACTCAGATCATAGTACATCAATGGAACCAAAAAATCCACCTCTTATTTATTTCATGTACCACGATCCGACTGATTTTGGATCACTAATCCTTATCTGGATCATCTCAAAGAAACGCACCCTTAGTAATAGCCCTGTTCATTAGCGCCCAAGCAGGCATTGCACTGTAATGCTTACCTGTAGGAATGACATCGATTCCAGCCCAGCCATCCACACCTATATGTAGATACTTTTGTCCAACTCTTCTGGTAGGACCGTTTGTATGTCTGTGAAAAGCTAAATTAAATGTACTCCGAATATAAGATCTATATTGCAGATGATAATCAAGTATTAGTATGCAACAAGAACATGTACACTTCTCAAAGAACACTCTGTCACAGCTGGATAATTATTATGGTATGTATTACAATTTATTTAACATCAGTTTTCATCAAAATGGAAAGCCTACATTTCCTTATAATGATGATGATCATCATCACCCATCATGTACCTGTTAAATATTCACTGTAAACATTCATTCCAGGATTACATGAAATTACAAAAAATGCTGGTCTTTATAGGGCAAGCTATTGCTGAAGTTTATACTAGTCCAGAGCAGTCCCATGCAGACCTATACCAGTGACAACTCTTTTTTTCACGTCAATGGTGTAGGGTTCGTCTCCTACCGGAGGAAGTTTTTTTCCCTTTTGTTTTGGTCGTTTTGTTTTGTTTTGTTTTTTTGTTTGTTTTTTTTTTGTACCAAATTTTACCTATTGGCTGGTTTCAATTTATTTATATTGCTTCCCCTCATCACAGCCACGCCAGGTTTTGCGATAAACGTACTTCTAGTAATATCCGGGTGTCTCGATACAGTTTTTGGGAGACCATACCAATGTTTTTCAATCACCTTAAAAGTAATTTCATCCTTGTCCGATAAATTCACCAGTGATTGACTATTAATTGAAGTTTGTCAAAATGCAGTTTTTATTGTGTTTATATTAGGTTGTTTGAAATCCTCAACCAGCCAGTAGTAAGATAGTCCAGGCAGTAGATAGTCTGAAATTAGCAGTAGAAGGACGGTTGAAATCCAAAAGTCGCCTTGCATTAACCATTGACTTCCCTAGCCACATTTTCAGATATTTGTTTGAAGGAAAGGGAAAGGTCAGTGGGGGGTGGCTCTACCCTGATGAGAAGGCATTTGACAGACGCTTCTATCCGCAGAACTGGGATGAGTGTCTTGACTCCTTTGGTGAGGGGCATAAAATCTGCTAACCTGTTAGAATGCGTATCTTTTTGTTCTGGTCACCAAAAAGGTTTATTAAAGTGAAAAATGGGGAGTTACATCCATGCAGTATAATGGCTTATCAGGAGCGCCTTTCCCTTTCATTAGCCAGATCCCCTTGTTAAAGACCTTTTTAAAGAATTGTTTTATTTACTTTTTTATGACAGTATGTGCTTAATACAATAATATGTAGCACACAATGCCCATACAGTAGTTAGACACTAGCTGTACCAATAACTGACTGCCTTTTATACACATAATGATTTTACACTGTATAAATGTACATGTACAAGTGGAAATTTTCCTTAGCTTTCCAATATTAATTTTCGGTTGAAATGCGTCTCCGTTTTGATTGTGATTCCTTTATATCAGTATTTTTCTGCTTTCTTCTTATATGCCCTAGGCTATCGTTCTTGGCTTCGTAATGTCCATATCTAGCCGCACTTCTTTTTGCAGCACATCAGCAGGTCTGTCCCAGTTATTAGACTTCCGTCCTAGAACTCACCTCGCGTCATCGTTATTCTTTTCAACGCCTATAAGGATTAAGTTATGGTAGTTAGTAATATTAAGAGAATGTACCATTAATGTTGGGCAAAAACTAGCTCAGGAACGCAGATAAGGCAAAAGATAGGTTTGTTTTAACCCTTTAATAAGACTGGTCCTGTTTCTATTGAATGATGTAATACTCAGAAGAAAATTGGGGCATTTTGATGTTGATTGACCTTTTCAGTCTTAAAGTCTGTTGCAAGCCCTCTAAGGTAACTTTAAATCTTATGTAGTTTTGAGTTGATGCGTGTTAAATGAATATGGTTTGTAGTTATTTTTATTTCAGTTACTTTGCAATATTTAAATTTTCCAGGGCTGTTCTGTACCTTGTCCCATAAACTGTTTAACATTACTGTGCTTTTTCATAGCTTCAGGCACATGGTATACTACTGAGTACATGTAACACGTCACATTTTTTTTGCCATAGCCACTATGTTTGTGTCCCATTGAGCAGAATAGTTTTACTCAATCTTTTGCCTGTAAAATGACAACAAATTGAAAATCGAATCATTAATAATAGAGCTGCTCTTCGAAAAGCAAAATACAAAGCCGTAAAGCAAGAAAATACATATTTTTGGCACCTTTTGACAGAACAGAGTAGCATCTACATTGTCCAACACTGAAATGTTGTCAAAGTACAGTAGTTTTCGAAAGTCCTGTTGATCGACAAATTTCAGAGATGATTTATCTTTGACTTCTAAGGTTAATTCTTATAGCTGCTGTAACAATTGATTAGCCATATTAAACATAAAACCTCAGTGTTTAAGGTTAGATACAAAATTTTAGTTCTACACATTGTATTTACTTAGTAATTAAGGCGATACTCATCTTTTTTCTTTTGCTTGGTAGACTGAGTTGCTCCTAAAAGGGAGCAAAACAATGTAATCTGCATGCTACTCTATGTAGGGTCTTTTATCATTGTTGTTAGACTGCAGAAGTTACAGTCAGTTTGTCATCTTTGTCTTTTCAAATTATTAAATAATTATTTTGATATTCTTGTAGGTATTATTTCATACTCATGTTATCACTATAGCTTTAGGCTTTTAAAAGTTCATGTAGGGGAGTTGCATTATTACTTACTAGTACGTGGCTTTCAACATTTTTCCTTGAATTGCTTCAGTAAAAAAATCATTTAGCAACAGCAGAGGTTTATTCATTTATAACTTGATTGGGTTTTTTATTGAATTCCTATTTCGCAATTATTGTAGTTTGGTAGTTCAAGAAGTCATGAATATACAAAATGTAAGCCATTAGTTTTGTATGTAATACTAAATATAGCATTCATACCTCCCATATTTTCTTCACAGTTGTGGCTGTGTTATAGGACGTAGAATCGAGGGGAAGTGTCCAGGGAAGGTTTTCAAAAGAATTTTCTTCTCATTGCCGATAAGACTGGTCCAGTCATATGTGCCACTGCCCTTTCCATCGGCATTCTTCTTCTCCCAAACCCAAAATGTCACTCCACACTTGTTGATGGCCTCTACAGCAGTTTGCAAATGTTGCCATATCACTGAAGGGTTAGCAACTTTCCTTTTGTGGCTTTCTTCGTCCACCAACTCAATCATTTCATCCAGCACATTGCGAGTTAGCACATCTGTTACTCTGAGAAACAGGTGTAGCTCATCAAGGATGACATGATCGAATGGGATGTTAAGAAGTGGGGGATTGATGCAACAAAGTTCCTTTTGCCTCGTTTCAACTGGCAGCATGTTTTCAGTTCTTCTGAATGTCCGCTTCTGTGGGCAGCTCTCATAGAATTTGTCTGGCTTGGACATATTGTACCTGTGGCATGTAAGTTAATGCATGTTTACTAACTTTTTAAACAGCAAAGCAACATTAAAAGCAAGCAAAAGTCTTAACATGCTTAAAAACAAATACCTGTTATCTTTATGTATGGTACACTGGTCAAAGACATGCAAAATTGGACATGGGGCCACTGAGACCCATTAGTATATCCACAGAAACTGCAGTAAAAGAATACTTGTACCCATTAATCCGTTGAGCCCCAAGATCAACATACAATTTCTCCACACTAGCCTCCATACATTTCTTGAAAAATTGGTGGAGAGAAATTGTTAAAGGATCAAAGCATTTCCCTTTGGTGATCATTTATTAATTCTTGTTATCTTTTCTCTTGATTATGTACTGATACGTTAGGAGAAAATTTATGTTGCTCACTCTTGGGACTTAAAGGGTCAATGATTTTTGTATGTAGTGCTCAAGTGTTAACAAGTATTTTGCATGACTTGAATACAAAAGTAAACTGTATATTTTACTTTCACCAGGCTCTTTTTTCAATAAAACTGCCGTATTGAGTTGTTGCATTCACCATTGTTTTCTAATTTGAATATTATTTTATAGTGTCTGTGAAAAATAATTACAGTTGATAGAGTAAATTCTTTACTCGATTGCTTACCAGATACGTACATTCAATGCTGTACTTTTCTAGTGTTTA